TACATTACCATGCTTTAGTGAATTTAATGACAGTGACTGTATAAAACTTTTTATCTATCAGTTTCATGATTATTTTGACGGATTAATTGGACTAGATCTTCTTACTAAATGGGAATCTAAAATAGACTTGAAAGAAGGGAAGCTTGTTACTCGATCATCATCAAACCCGATTAAAATGTACAATTCATATAACGTCAATCTTTATGAAGATATAATCCCTGCACAATCATCTAAATTAGTTAGAATTCCGATAGATACTCAAGATGGAGAAGTTTATATAAAAGAACAGATTATTTGTAACTGTATAATTCACGATTGTCTTACAACAGTTTTCAATAATCGCGGTTACTTAGAAATTGAAAACCCCACACCTAATGATATAATTTTTTCACTAGATCGACCAGCACATGCTGAAATATTTAATGTTAACTTCGAACGTATTAACCAACACAAAACACGCACCAAAAATGTAATCTCGCGTTTACGCACAGAGCATCTCAACGAGGAAGAAAAGGCCAATCTTATAGCTCTTTGCTCTCAATATTCTGATGTTTTTTACGTAGACGGCGAACCTCTAACTTTTACTAATAAAATAAAACATCAAATAAGAACAACCGATGAGATACCTGTCCATACTAAAAGTTACCGTTACCCGTTCGTACACCGCCAAGAAGTTAGGGATCAAATAAATAAGATGCTGGAACAAGGTATAATAAGACCATCCGATTCAGCTTGGAGTTCTCCAATCTGGATTGTACCAAAAAAGACAGATGCATCGGGCAAGCAAAAGTGGCGACTTGTAGTGGACTTCCGTAAACTTAATGACAAGACCATTGACGATAAATATCCAATACCCAACATAAATGACGTACTTGACAAGTTAGGGAAATGTCAGTATTTTAGTACTTTAGACTTAGCAAGTGGGTTCTACCAGGTTGAAATGCATTCCCAGGATATTCCTAAAACAGGGTTTAATGTAGAACATGGGCACTATGAATTCCTTCGTATGCCTATGGGACTTAAAAATTCACCATCTACCTTCCAACGGGTGATGGATAACGTCTTAAGAGGCCTCCAAAACGAGATATGCCTGGTCTACCTTGATGACATTGTAGTCTTCAGCACCTCACTCCAAGAGCACATCGTCAACCTGGAAAAGGTTTTCCAAAGACTTAGGGAATCAAATTTTAAAATACAAATGGATAAATCAGAATTCCTAAAACTCGAAACAGCTTATCTTGGTCATATCATTAGTAAAGATGGAATCAAACCTAATCCCGACAAGATCACAGCAATAAAAAATTATCCAATCCCAAAGACACCTAAAGAAATTAAACAATTTCTAGGACTTCTCGGTTATTACCGAAAGTTTATCCCAGACTTCGCTCGAATTACTAAGCCTCTTACACAGTGTCTAAAAAAGGGAAAGAAAATAACATTTGACCCCGAATACGTAGAAAGCTTTGAAAAATGTAAAACGCTACTTACAAATGATCCTATATTGCAATATCCCGATTTTAACCGAGAATTTCTTCTAACTACAGATGCATCTAATTTCGCTATTGGAGCTATACTATCCCAAGGACCCATAGGATCAGATAAACCTGTTTGCTATGCCTCTCGTACTCTCAACGAGAGTGAACAAAATTATAGTACAATTGAAAAGGAGCTTCTTGCTATAGTTTGGGCTACTAAATACTTTAGACCATACTTATTTGGAAGAAAGTTTAAAATATTGACTGACCATAAGCCTCTACAGTGGATGATGAATTTAAAAGAACCAAATTCTCGTCTCACTAGATGGAGACTTAAACTTAGCGAATACGACTTCACTGTTATATACAAAAAAGGTAAATCTAATACAAACGCTGACGCTCTCTCCCGCATAGAAATCCATAATGAGGAAATAGAGTCAATAATAGAAAATCTTAAAGAGCTTAGTTCACTTATAGGAAATCCATCTGAAAGTGTACGAGAAGACGTGTTAGATAAAGGATCGTCAACTGAAACAGCCCATACTAGTAACGAACACCCTATTTTAGAAGTACCTATTGTAGACGAACCATTAAATAAATTTAATAGACAAATATTCTTCACTATGGTGGAAGACATCACACGTAGGCCCATAGTAACTAAACCTTTTGAGACACATACGCGTATTGCTATTCAATTATCAAAAAATAATTTAGAAGAAGATGTAGTTAAAGCCATTAAAGAATACGTCAATCCAAAAGTAAAAACTGCTATCATGATACACCCACCTCTTGCCATGTATTCAATAATTCCAATAGTACAAGAGAAGTTTCGTAGCTCATCTATGAATTTAGTACTTACCAAAGTAGAACTAGAAAATATTAAAGAATACTTGCGTCAGCAAGATATCATCCGATCATATCACGAAGGCAAGACGAATCATCGAGGAATACACGAAACTTATTTAGCGCTCTCACGAAAATATTATTGGCCCAAGATGAAAGATCATATTTCTAAATTTATCAATGAATGTACAGTTTGTGGACAGGGTAAATATGACCGTAACCCTATTAGACCCCAATTTAATATAGTGCCACCCGCGACTAAGCCATTTGAAATAATTCACATGGACTTATTTACAGTTCAAAACGAAAAATACATTACGTTTATAGATGTATTCACTAAATATGGCCAGGCATACCATCTACGAGATGGTACAGCAGTTAGCATCTTACATGCCTTACTAATGTATTGTACTCACCACGGTGTTCCATTAACTATTGTGACAGATAACGGAACCGAATTCACAAATCAACTTTTCGCAGAATTCGTTAGACTCTATCAAATAAATCATCATAGAATACTTGCACATTCTCCAAACGACAACGGTAATGTCGAAAGATTCCACTCCACACTACTTGAGCACCTTCGCATTCTAAAAATACGAGAGAAAGATGAGCCTATAGTTAATCTTATGCCCTATGCTATAATAGCATATAATAGTTCCATCCATAGCTTCACCAAATGCCGACCCTTTGATCTATTAACTGGACACTTTAACCCTAGAGACCCAATTTCAATTGATATAACGCAACATCTTTTACAACAATATGTAGAAAATCATAGAGAGCGAATAAATCATGTTTACGATCTCATCAATGAGACAGCCCTTAATAAACGTACAGCTATCATAAATAACCGTAACAAAGATAGGGAACCTGAAGTAGAATACACACCGACACAACAGATCTTTATAAAAAATCCAACAGCTAGTCGACAAAAAACCGCTCCACGATTTACACAAGATACGGTATTAGCAGATCTACCCATACATATATATACGTCCAAAAAACGTGGACCCGTTGCTAAATCACGTATTAAACGAATTCCTCATACAGCTAAATTGTTACAGAGTGATCTTGGTTCTGACCAGCCAAGCGATGGGCGCTCAGGAGATAAAACTTGAAAGCCTAGCAGAAGGACCAGGACTACTGCCTTATAAACTTGGCACAGCTAGACTTATAGAACAGTATCATACATTTTTACAATACATTGAACTGGATGAGCTTGAGAACAACATTGACTTAGTACAGACTCAACTACAGACTTACCGTTCCAGACTCCCTAATGACACTTATCTTCTGTATGAACTGCAATTAGAATATCTTTCGAAGAAAATTAGTATAGCACAGATTCAATTAAATTCATTAGAACCTAATAGTCGTGTTAAACGAGGACTCATAGACGGACTAGGATCATTAGTTAAAAGTGTTACCGGAAATCTCGACCATTCAGACGCTATTAGATATAACAGACTCATTAAAGAATTACAAAATAATCAAAATAAAATTGTATCCGAATCCAATAGCCAAACCAGTCTTAATAAAGAATGGATGGTCAAATATAATACAGTTATTAATGAATTAGTTGAGAACCAAAGTAAAATAAATTCAACCTTAGAGCTACTACTAGATAAAAGTACATATATGGATAACAGTCTAATAAAGTATGCTAAATTCGGTCAACTATTAGATATACTTAGTGAAAATATAGAAGAGATAATGATAGAATTAATTAGAGTAGAAAATATGTTAGCTTTTATTAGAGTAGGTACTACGCACCATTCCATGGTTACTATAGATGTTCTAAAAACAATGTTGTCTAAATTAGATAAAATATATAATAAAGAACAAATTTTAAATATAGCGCTTAGAGAATATTACGATGTTATTAAACCAGGATACTATTACATGGGAAAACAAATAGTAGTTATTTTCAAATTCCCTATTGTTTCCCGAGATGAGTTCGAATTCTACAAACTGTCCTTAGTCCCTAACAAAAACGAACAAATTCTTATACCTCCTTTTCCTTATATGGCAACCAACGAGAAATCATTCGTGTACATAGAGGCTGAATGCCCGAAGTTAAGTTCCTGGTACCTCTGCGAAAGGAAGATAAGTACCCAGCTTCGAGCACAACCAGACTGCATACAAAAGCTTATCATATCACAAACTTTCAGCGAATCCTGTCAATTTACTTCGGTGTCCCTGGACAAGGAAGCTTTGGAGAAACTTGATGACCAACATTATGTCATATCCTTCCCGAATTCAACCAGAGTCAGATTAGCCTGCAGCAGCCAAGACACCACAACCATACAAGGAAGTTATTTAGTCACGATTCCAGTTAAATGCTACCTGCAGACTGCCGAATTCAGAATAATCAACGAGAACGACAAGATCAACGGCCAGCCTCTCAAAAACTTATGAAAATCCCTTACAGCGATTCGATTACAATCAAACCGCATCACCTAAGGTTGGACACAATAGATCTACAGGGACTCCACAGCATCCAGACTAAAATCCTGATGGAACCACCCCTACAATTGGAGAAGACACAGGACAATATATATCATACAACAATACCCTTTTATATAATAGTCCTCATAGGCATCATTATTCCTGCTGCAACCCTTCTAAGCCGCCGCTTCAAGATATGGCAAAATAGAAAACTTATTGCTCATCCTCCAACTACCAGTGAACACAACTACGCGGATCCAGAAAACCTGAAACAGGATAACCAGAGACATCCAGCGACATTTTCACTAAAGGTTCTCAAATAGTCGCTGCTCTCGGGGTGGAGGAATTATGTATGAACACTGGAAGAGAATCCCTTACGCAGCTATGTCTATACCTAATCGCCGTGCATCGACGTCGAGGTCAAGCTGACACGAGTTGCCGACGCTGCAGTTTACACCACTTAAGCAATTATAATATTTTATACTCACTTTGATTTCTAACATCGAAACGGTCATAGGTTATTTTTAGATGTTAAATTATTTTTATAAGTATTTTCCTTTTTAATTAAATTTATTATAATAATTTTGGTTTTTTTTCGAACCTCCGGCTGCAGTAAACGTAATTCACGGGAAAACATGTAAAATTCCGCGACAATGCCGGAAATCCCGGCCATCTGGCAACCCTAGCTACAATTGATGCAGGCGAAGTCGAGGAAAAGCAGCTGGTTATTTAAAACATTACCGACCTGTGCGTGAGCGCGCAGTCGTGCCCCTGGTACAGGTACGTGTCCCGCGCGGGCGCCGGCACCAGCGCCAGGCAGCGGCCCTGGCCCGGGATGCTGCTGCCGTTGCTGTCGTTACCGTTGTTGTTGTTGCTGTTGTTGTTGTTGCCGGCGTTACCGTCGCCGGTGTCGTTGACCGGCCGCGCCGAGTGCGACCAGATCCACAGCAGGCCGGGGTTGAGGCCGCCCGTCCAGAAGTCCTTGCCTGTACAACGCCACGTTTCGTGAGTTCCTCGTTCGAAATACGAAATGTTGTTTTACATTTTGTACCGCAAACCGGTACGGTCGGTGCGGTGACCTCTGAACTGGTGGTCGGCGAGTATCCGCGCGAGCAGCGCCTGCCGCTGCGGCGCGCCGTGGAGCTCCAGCAGATGCGCGTGCAGCTTGCGGCACCTCACGCTGGCCGCCTTCCAGTCGGCGGCTTCGCTCGACAACGAATAACAACGGTCCGCCACGCGCTGGAACCCGTTCGCGCACGGCTCTACAAACATACACACGTTTGTTGATTAATATCATCGAAACTAGAATTTTATAGTTGAGTAAATCACAAAATGAAAAAGTCCCGCTTTGCAAATATACAGTCTCATAATTTCAAAATCTTATCTCACGGTCATTATCGAGTTATTGCATATCCGATAGTCATAGTTACGAAGAATAATTTTGATGATGAAGTATAAATATAGTGTCGAGAAAGGCAGCAGTGACCTGCGTCGGGTTCCTTCCCGGCGACGATGTAGTGTAGCGCGTCCTCCAGTTTGCGCAGTCGTTTCTCCATGGTGTCGGCGCGGTACACGAGTTTCTCTATGGCGGTGAGCAGGTACAGGTCCGTCTCCGACACGCGGCGGGGGGGCGAAGCGCCCGAGGGGCCATCCACGCGGTCTACGCCCCCGCCGCCCCACTGATGTGGCACCGGAATCGGCTGATTCTGAGGCGACTGTGGCGGTAGTTGCTGGACGACACACAATTTTACATTGATCTATCTAACTAATAAGTTCTACACGATGACGTGTGTATAATGTATTAATGAATATAGGGGAATTGAAATAATAATTGCTATTGGATCGTATAGCCAAAGAAGTTCGATCGCCCCATAGCCTATCCCACCGAAAAACTAACACAATTTTGTGTAATGTATAATACTTGTTTGTATTTAGCTCACGCAACTAAAAATGAGGGAAAAATTCAAATTTTATCACTTGTAACACCATAGTGAGCAGTGGATACGTGTAAGTGGCGAATTATATCGTGAAAGTATGCTATTCGAACGTTTTGTCAGACGTGTCTATTGTTATTGAAATACATTACAGTATCAGATACATACTACCTAGTTCCTGTTAGCAAATGCTCTTAACAGAATATTTTTTCTGTCTTACGAGTAATATACCTTCTAAAACATATTTTACTGAAAATTAAAAGCAAAGATATGTCAGATATAGTCACATCCTACTTATTATTGGTACAACTAAAAGCAGTCGCGGACTAACCCCGTCAGTCCCCCGGACGGTATTAGACTTGATATTACTTTTACACCCCCCTCCCCCCTCCTGCTAAGACGCCTGCTAAAACTACGAACAATTCCCCAATTTATGATTTGATCAAGGGAACTTGCAACCTTTTGGAGGCTCCCCAGGAGGCCCGTGGCCGAGCGCCCCCTCCGCCCCCCTTAGTCCGCCACTAACTAAAAGCATATGGGTGATTAAAAAAGAGGAATAAGTAACATGTAAATATACTCACGTAACTTGGCTTAAATTTGTCTTTGTAAGGATTCGGTGGTCGATTCACAATCTTTCCAGCGCCAGGTGGCGGCGGGGGCGTGGCCTTCCATTCTTCGTACTGCGAATAACTAGACGCTGGATATTGTGCCGGTCCGTGGGGCGCCGCGTGTGGCCCCTGCGCCGTTAAGTATCCATGCCCTGGCTGCGGCCCTGTGGCTGGTCCGTACGGCTGTGGTCCGTGGATCGCTGCGGCCGGTCCATATGGACCACCGCTAGGACCGTGCGGAGGCGGCGGTGGCGGCGATAGTGGCCCGTCTATTCGTTCGGTTACGTAATAACCTGTTGTAGGCGGCAACGCCATTACTCGACCTAAAATTCAAATAAAGGGATCGAAACCCGACTTTGCAGTAACGTTACAGATTTAAGTAATCTCATATTTCGACGAAGCAGGTGGTGTAGGGTAGGGTAAAACTTACAGTTTACTTAACCTAAATTATTAACAATCACTCGTAAAATTGTCCAAAATAATATAATACAAAAATGTTCTATTGAGACAATTTACTTCTTTTGACTTCTCTTCCCACTATTTTGACTAAATTGATATCCGTTATTTCATAGTAGCAGTAGAAAGAATACAAGAATGCATAATAAGCGTTTCACATCTAATACGCGTATTTTGTAACAGGGTTTACTCGTTTCAAACAAATAAAATCGCATCTGAATTTACGCCTTCTCGACAAAGTCTTTATTCTGGCACAAAAACGGGGTAGATAAACGTATTTTCATTAATCGACCACATCGTACCATGTCTGTCGTTGTGATAATCGGCAGAGGTGGTCCACTGCTCCAGCAGGTCCGCCCACAGGTTGGTGGCGGCGCACGACTCGGACTCCTGAGTACTGTCGGCATTTAGCACGCCGGAGTAGAGCACCACCGATACACATAAACACCAAACGGTATTCATCTGAAATCACCAGTCAGGCAAAGAATTAAATAAATATTATCGCCTTTGGGCAAATCTTTGCCTCCCACAACAATACGAAGTAATTTTATAAATCATAATTTAACGCTATTTTTCCAGAGCATTATTTTATCGCCACAATAGCCAACGGCAAGCCGAATACTATAAACTACTTCAGATAGTGTGACGTGTAGTCGATGACGCTGAGCAACCTAAGGTTCTACTCAAACTACGCTTTAAGTTTACTATAAGTAGGCTTTCCTATATTTTTCTAAAGTTTAGAAACTGTTTAGTAAATGCCGATAAAAAATAATAAGCCATTGAAAAACTATTTTTTGTTAAGTGTAGTCAGGTCATCGGCACACGCTATAACTGCTGTCCCAGTTAAGTTTCCAAACAATATGATTCACTGATTACTAATTCTATGAAGAGAGTGACGTTACGCGGTTGTTGCCCGTTCAGGCTGCGGTTATGCAATCCCGGATCACGGACGACATGGAACCACTTACGTACCTACGTGCGGATATGATTTATTTATTCTTTTAATCTTTTCACGAATTTTGCCATTTAAAAATGGGCAGAAAAAAATGAAGTAAAAGTACACCTTGATTAAAGATCCCATTATATTTTGAATTTCAGCATCTAATTTTATAAAATAGTACGTGCAATCACGTCTAAAAGTACGTAGAACTTACACATTGAAATAGTAATAAGTATAATTCAGTACGCCTATAAAGAGAATGTTTGTAATAATATACTAGTTTAGTGAAAATCTTTTGGGATTTATCAGTGGATTCCCGTTTTTCTCATGGTATAATGAAAGTAATTTCATAAACTATTGTTAGCCAAATGTTTGCTATACTCGATAAAACAATCTTGCTAATTAAGAAACAGTCGAGCAAAGTTACACAGAATACATCGCTGCAATTATGTAAGAGGTCTTTCGGCAATGGGTAATGCTAATAGTAATCTATGAAAACGTTTAGGGACTCTGCCGTAAATAACTCTTTAAAGACAATTAGAGTTATTTCAGAATCAGCGGAATAGGCGAACTGAAGATATCCATTTATGTTGAAAACGTGAGATCATAGGGAAAAGGAAGTGAAGATGGAAGGGCTAACTTTGTGTAGTAATAAATAGAAATGTACTTGGATTAAGTCTGTTATTTAAATTGTTCTTCTTTTTATAATAGTATTTTTGTTCATTGTTATAACTTTAATTTTTTACTACTTCCATTTTGCCCTCAACTTCAAATTTCCATCTTGCCCGCACACTGGTATTATAATTACATTAACATATCTATAACTTCACGTTTATTTTGCTTTAAATAATGTCTACCTGTACACCCGAATTGTGATACATATTTACTTTCATAGCAAAATAGTCTTATTTCGTACTTGTCATAAGCAACAAAAGTAGAGAAATCTGACGCTTTGTAATATTTTCGTATCAAATAAACACATAGCTTGTACATTATAGTGGCTGGTGAGAATCGGACTAAATATCGTTCGTTAATAATCACATACAACTACGTATCTCTGTGTAACACCCGCGATAGATCACATATTTTGTTTATTATAAGAAGTTTCCATTTTGCCCACTCCTTACATCTTGCACTCCCTTTCCCTATTATGTACTTGCTGAAATAGAGGCAGTTCGAGAAATGACACTAACTTCACTACTAACTCCAGATAGTATAATATCTTTTCAACTAAGACAATCTTCATCTTATATACTACTTAAAGCAAGCAAGTATAAGTATAGAAGATTCCTAATATTTGCATACCACATTGCATGTTAATTTTGATGGGTATTATAATTCTCATTATGTTTCTATCATAAGGTGGAGAACATACCCTATTATGTATTTCCCTTATCTTCAATAATTTTATCTTTGTTATTAATGTTAGGTATGCGGTGCTACTCTTCTATCATCTATAAGGATTATTACATGTCAAAGAGTAGCACAATATTAAATATCATATTCTTTATTTTACCACCACCAGCCCTTTTACGTCCCCACTGCAGGGGCTCAGGCCTTCCTTATGGATGGTTAAGGAGGATGGGCCATGACCCTCCACGCTGGCCCAATGCGGATTGGAGGGTATTAACGACTGCAAATGCAGCCGGGACCAACGGCTTAACGTGCCTTCCGAAGCACGGAGTAGCTCGAGATAATAATTTTTGGTCACCCATTCCGTGACCGACCCTTGCGAAAGTTGCTTAACGACTACGATCGCGGGCGGTATTATAAGCTGAGTCCAGTGAAATTACCTAACAAATTTCATTGAACGTCATTATATTTCCATAAACTTTCAACACGAAGCTTTCGATTATTCATAATGCAAAAGTAGGTACTTGCTGTTATTGTTTGTTAGATGACTTGCCCTTTTCCGTGTCTGATATTATCAAACACGAGATAGGCATATCTGACGATAAACAATGTTTAAATATGGTTTGTGTAGACGGCGCGCCAGTGAAAGCGGGCCTCCCACCGCAAATAAGGATCTTGTTTCCGTCGATTCATACATGAATAAGTTCGGGTTTTACCTCTTTGGTAATAGTTTTCTACACGAATGAATAAATTAGGTAATATTTTTAATTATAACTGATGTAGATTAAGTATTTAAACTATTACGGATATCTTTTGCCTATTAACGAGTTTGGGAGAATTCAGTCTTAATTCCAATTGAAAAACATAGGTATTTACCACTGGACCTCGGTGACGATGTTTCTAATTTTGTCACGTGTAAATTGAATAAGTTTATATAAAATATCCCTAGAACAAAACCATTTTCAATTCATACCGAATTCTCCTAGAAAACTACACAACGGTTTCAACTGATACGTTATTTATATAAATTATACATATATCTTATCTGTTTACTTTAATTCTGAATTCAAAAATTATTCTAATAAAATCTATCAATGAACAAACATAACGCGTAATAAGACTCACTTTCGTTCGCGTCCCCGGCGGCGGCGCGCGGTTCCAATCCACATTAACTGATTATAAACTGACACTTTCGCCTTTCGCTTGCGTCACGTTTGGTCCGTATAAACTTGGCTCAGCGACTGACGCCAGTGCACATCCGCACACCGATCCCATCGTAGGTGGAGGTGGAAGAGGAATCGGTATTCAAAAGAAAGCATAACAAGTACCAATGTTGAGAGAACACATGTGACGTCTTCGTAATGTAAAAGAAACCGGGCAAGCGCGAAGTCGAATAGGAAATTTTAAATGCCACATAAGTACTTCTCATTTAGATGAGGTATCTTCAGAATTAATTACTAAGCTTTAGCCTTCTCAGTTACAAAAATAAGGACGGAATTGTAAATTTTTGCTTAAAGTCGCAAAAAACCTTTTCATACATAGAATTGTAATTGTACTGTGTCTTCAAATTTGTTGACATTACACGTTTGTCTTAGGGCATTGATTTACATATGAGTACCAAACTTCAGTTTGATCGATATATTAGTTTTGAAATAAATTAGCGGAGGAAATAAAAAATCATCAATACAGTGACTTACCATTTCCAATAACCATTTACGTAAAGTAGATTTAAATCGGGTAAACGGTAATTGTTTGACATTATTATATGTGATTTTGAAATTTTTGAGTCTTAGGGATGAATTTCAAAACTAGCCTTTTAGAATTTCTCATTAATTTAGGATCTAAAGGCAATTAACCAAGACGAAAAAGCTTCCTTTTTTCAATTACATGTACTTACAGCATCGTAACTTGTAAACTAACAAGTCGATTTGCTAAAAGTTTTTGTTTGTCGATGGCTTATTTTATCAAAAATCATTTTGAATATTATAAACACCCCTTTTAGAGGGGTAGGGGACGTATAAATATAACCCATAAAATAGTGTAAGCAACTTTTTGGGCCGAGGTATTTTTTAATTTATATTCGATTTAGGAAGTATTTGCAACTTACAGACCTCACGGTAAATGAGTTGAATTCGCATTTGTTTGGTTTTTAACCGACTTCAAAATCCAAAGGGAGGTTATAGGTTCGATGACGATATATATTTTTTCTATGTATGTTCAACTATAATTCCCATTGAAATTTTATGTAAAATTAGTAGTTTTCCCTTTACAATAAAAATATTTAGATGATATGTATGTACTTCTATGTACTTCAACAGCAAAAAGGATTGACTAATTTCAATTTATTCTAATCTTAAAGGAGTAGTTTTTATGTTCAAGGAGTATATATGTATATTTTTTTACGAAAGTAGGTAAGTCAACCAATAAGTCAATATACTTAAATTGTGAATCAATTTCTATCTTGCTGTTTCGACGACTTTTATATACCAGTCTAATATTTCAGAGCCTATCCAATACAAACTAATAAATAAGCAATCGTATCTTTTCTCTTTATATTATAATATGAGTATAGAATTACTGTAAAAAAATGTCGAGATTATAAATAAAATCTTCTTTTCTTAGACTCAGCACGTTGAATATTTTTATTTATGTGGATGTTTAATATTTTTAGTGTTACCTATTATATAAGGAATATTAATATCACTAAAAAGCATGATATAAAAACTTTAAAAATTTATTCAAAATGCTATATAAACGTACAGAACAACCCTACAATCTACATCAATAGCATTTTCTTAAAGTCGCTTTTGAAATAAGGATTATTTATCACTTTTTTAAAGTTTGAAGTCGGTCCCATTTTCTATAAGTATCATTTAACCATAGACGGACTCTTGCTCAACCACTTTCAATACAAGGTCACAGGTACAATTAAAACCACGTCAAATTTACAAAAGGCTTAATTTCTACAATTAAACTAGATTTTTTTTATAGTTGTGTTTAAAATTGATTTTGGAAAATAATTGTAGTACTTACATTTACGTGTTGTATATTTTGTTTTATATTATGTATACATAGAATATAGTATAATTATAATTAAATATGCATTCTTTTTTGTTTATTTAACTATTAAAAACTAGAATTATAGGTAAATAATTAAAATCTATTAACCCGGAGGATCTAAAGTAAAAGTTATTATTATAAGATAAAAATCCTCATTAATTTCACGTGATGCGTTGATGTCTTTTACTCCGTCCAACGAGCAAAGTATCTTTGTTTATATTAATGTAGATTGAGGTATAAATAAAAATAAAAACCCTGAAGTAGTCAACAAAAATATAATAACAGTTACTTACATCCACTGTAATAAACAATTTTTAGATTCTGTTTGTTTATAATGTTTAAAAAATCACAAACTTTCATTTTTTTTTAAACTTTGTTGTGCAAATGACATATACGAGTAGTATACGATTTAGATTTTGTTTTATATTCATTAGCAATAAATACATCATTACTTAGACAAAATTCTATTAAACTTAACACATATTATTATATTTATCTTTACATTAACTTTATTAAATCCAATAGTTAGTACATAGTTGTTTTTATAGGTTTCAGTAATGTCATGGGATAAGAAATAAGTTAGAAATTGAGTCTTTAAATTAGTAACAAAAGAATAATAATATTTTATAAGTCTATGACAGTTATATTTACATTTTTTTCTTAGCAGCTTAGATTTCAAAATTTACACATACAAATACTTGTAAAAGTACAAAAACATTTTAGAAATGGTAGAAGAACGAGGAAGGCAAGCAGTCACTGTACCAACGTTCACAATCAAGGGATTCAGTCTCACTTTTCCCTAATTTTGATAATTCTGACACCGAAAACGCAGAAAATTTACGAAACACCCAAACGTAAACTTTTTTGAACACAATAACATTTTCAGAAATATTTTATTAATAAATACTGTCGAAATCAAAGTGGTATATGCGAGCGCCTTTTCTAAAACTATAGCACAAATTTTATCTGCGCAAGCGCATACTGACATTAATTTAGAACAGCATTTTCTAACCATCACACACAACGTAATCACGATTATATAATTTGACTATGTGAACAATATCACCCGACACCGTACATATAAAATGAGGTAGAGATTTTCTCTGTTTATTTTATAAATAGTAACTAATCTACCAACCACCCGATATGAAAACACCGGCAGAACCATTTATTGTATAACTATTAGATCGCGCTTGTTGCGATAAATCACCATTGGAAGGACGATGGAATTCCATAGATGGATCTGATAGCAATCATGATAAGTTATACAATAACTCCTTTAAGAAATCGGGCCCAAAAAACTATACTTGAGATCACTGTAACTATTGCACATCGTTTCAAAGGGTAACATACTACTTCTACGCACGTATCACAACATTCTGTATCTTTGGTAGTTTCTAGGGAAAATGAGAGGGCTGACTCTGTGGGCCCTCAGCTTTCGAGGATCGATGCTCGCAAACGGGGGAGTCTCTCCCTCTACGGAGGCTTCTATAGAAGCGGAAGACAGTCTCGGAGCGCTGGGGGCTCGATCGAACGGAACCTCTGTATTGCGAGCTTGCTTTGAAGGTGATTGGTGCACCGGCCGAGTCTGATAGTGACTGGTGTTTCCCACGACGGGGATGGAGATGTATTCTAACGGAGGGGCGGCTCTACCCGGTGGGGTGGGCCTTTTCGGAGCTCGGGGTTTGTCGGTCTGCTTAGGAGTAACCGACAGAAAATCGGGGTTTAAAGGGGGATGATTCATTTTAACGGGTATGTAAGCGATCGGTTCCGGTCTCGTCTGCCGGGCGGCGTGTTTGTTCGTGGGAGGTAAGGTTTTAGGATGTTTGGCCTTCGTTTGTTTTTTGATCGGTGACCTGTGGCGCGGGGATATCACTTGTATCGGGACGATTTCGACCGGATAATGAGTCGGAGGCCCGGATGCTACCGAGAACGGATGAATCGCGTTCGGTGTGGCCAGATTAAAATGTCTTTCGTTCAGCTCCGCTATCATATCTCTCGATGGATATTTGTCCCGATTATTTTGTTTCTTCGAATCGAAGGATAGTATCGATTTCGTTTCATCCGGGGAAGATTTATAACGGATACGTGCAACGTTCTCGGGGGAGGTACAGTTTACGTTCAATCGCTGATTCGGTTCGTATCGAGAATTCGTAATCGGGTGGTCGGGCATATTAAGCATATCGATCGGTTCAGGGTAGCGATGGGGGTGAGAGACGTTCTGCAGCGGGATGTATTCGTGCTGCGGCTCCTCGTTTACGGTGTACGCTCGGTCGTGTTCGCTGCCGTCAGGTGTGGGGTGCTGGGGTCGCTCGGTCAGAAGTAGACGGTCAGGTTCATGTGGTCGGAGAGGGCGGAGTCGGTCGCGTCCGTGACGGGCCCCTCCTGCCCGCTGCCCTGCAAACGTACACTTGATGTAATGTGCCGTGCGGTATCGCTATGCGAGGGGTGCGATTTTAGCAACTGATCATACATGTGTGAAAATCTAATTGCTCGGTTGCGAATGTGATATGAAAAGAAGATATGTCCCCCCCACAGCTCACCTGCGGGCGTTCGTCCCAGGAGAGCTGCTTGACGCGCGCGGGGATGGTGTGCGCGGGCCACGCCACCCCGGAGCGGCCGGGGCTGCGCGCGCGCAGGTGGTCGCTCATCAGCGACACGCCGCCCTCCGCCCCCACCCCCGCCCCCGCGCCCGCTGTCGATCCGTCCGCCGGCAGAGGCGCCACCTTACTCTTGTTCCCGAACCGCTGCGACTGCCGCCCGCTCGCCAGACCTAGTTATAGCCGATCGTGATTTACGATCAAATTCATATTACGTAGGAAATTTATTTACTTAAAAACATATATTAATTAAATAATGCTAAATCTTTTTTCCGTAATGGTGCTATCCTAGATTAAAGATCGCATAATCAACGGCTCAACAGGGTACAGAATTCTGTGAAGGCATATCTGGAATTTCGGTTACTGTTAGCGGCCCTCGCGTTAATGAAGTACGCGTAGTCCGCGAGGCACAATCTCGCACACCGCGAGTTGCAAACGAACCATCGTCGTCGGCGATGATGACAGATATCTCCTTGAAATCAAAACGCTGCACCGTACAACACGACGGAGTTTGTGGGCCTCGGTCAAATTATGAGCACGAAACTTCCTGACCGCTTAATGTTCATGATAGACTTTATGCACTCTACCCATAGCGACATTACTTTAAATGACGTAATTAGCTTTTCAGCAAAAAATGTATCCTATTAATATTATAAATGTGAAAGTTTCTTTGTTTGGATGTTTAGATGTTTGGATGTGTATTATAATGAAATGCGCTTGTTCGCCCATCAAATACAACAATAAATCTATTTTTTCTTCTTCACCTTATGTATAGTAATCGGTCACTGTAAGATAGCGCATAAATCGCTTTCTCCATTTTGCCCAATTTTCTGGCTTAAAATCGAAATATGTAGGCGGCGTCACTGGACAAGGCGGTCCGCAAACACTTATTATCTGTTGCCCCAGTACTGGTTCTTCTTCTGTAGTCATTTTTGAATCGCTGCCACCATGTATTATAATGAAAACAAATGGTTTTAAGTGTTATTAGTCCACTTTATTAAGATTTGTTACAGAACCGTAAGAGCGCCATTAAGCAGAAAAATCAAAGAGTATATTCTCTCCTCAGGATACATTCAGCCAAGACTACATGACAGATTAGAATGCGTTCCAATATCACAACATCCTCCCTTTTATCTTTTATTCAAAATTTAAGACCAAACATTACATATTGCAATTAATTTTTTAATAAACTTAACAAACAAAATCCTGCATCCATTTAGGCTTTAATATATTTCGAGTACTTCTTCTCATCCCCTCACTAGGAGCACAATCTTCGACTACTTCACTTTTATCACTAATTAACATTTTTCCTTCTTCATGATTATTATTACAATTATTTTTACAATTAACTTGATCATTAATCATTTTATTATTGCAGGGTTCAAAACCCACACTAGGATAAACATCAGGGACTGTATTATTTGAACAAAAATTTTGTTCATTTAATAAATTTTTACTTACAGGATCACCCACTATTTTAGCATGAGGAGCTGGGATCAAATGCCACCTATTTCTGCGATACACTCCATCTTCAGTATTAACTATATATGATCTAGGCTGTGAAGCTTTTCTTGCAACAATACCGTATTTCCTCAAATCCACAATCCACACTTTGTCATTGATATCTAATTCACTCAATTGTTTAGTTCTATGTCTTTTATTATAGTATGTGTGAACTTTATTTTTCTTAATAAAATCATTATTTCTGAATTCTTTTTTACATTGTACAACCTTATCTAAAGACCTTGGTAACCTGGGTAAATTATCTCTCAATTTTCTGTTGAACATAAGTTCAGCAGGGCTGAACCCTGTATCTAATGGCGTGTTTCGATAAATTAGTAAACCTAAACTAACATCTATATTCTTTTTTAATAGATTTTTTGCTATTTTAACTGCCGATTCAGCACCACCATTGCTTTGAGAGTAATATGGGCTGCTGGTAACATGTTCAAAGTTGTATTCTAAAGCAAATTCTGTGAATTTAGTTTTAAATTGTGTGCCACAATCTGTTCTTATTAATTCTGGTATACCAAATTTACTAAAAATATCCTTACAGTATTCAATAATGGCTACTTCTGAAAGACTAGTCAATTTTTTAAAATCTAAATATCTAGAGTAATAATCTACTAAAACTACATACCACTGCCCATTGTAATAAAATAAATCCATACCCAATTTCTGCCAAGGTCTGTCAGGTGTTTTCTCCATAACAATATTTTCTTTATTATTTTTCCGTTCCTCTGTACAGTTTGGACAGTTTTGTATTAATTTCTCTATTTGGTTAGACATACCTAACCACCAAACTGTTTGTCGAGCTCTACTCCTACATTTGGTAATACCTAAATGACCCTGATGAATTTTATTTAACATTTCTAGTTGCATAGTCTCTGGTATAACTAATCGCGATTTGTATAAAAGAAAACCCTTTGCAACAGAAAAATCATATCGATATTGATAATAATCTTTTAATTTACCTGTTAATTTAGAAGTTTTAGGCCAATTTGTTTTTGAATATTCTACTAAATATTTACAAATTATGGATTTTTCTTGTTCAGCTTTAATTTTCTCTAAATATTTATCATGTAATGGAATATTTTTCAACACCATGATAACATACAACTCTTCTGAAATGACATCACAACTATGTTCCTTATCTACTATCGTATCTAATGGATTTCTTGAAAGGGCATCTGGCATTGTCAATTTTTTCCCTGGAACATAGTTAACAACAAAGTTGAATCGAGTCAATCTCATTCTGAATGACATTAATCTTGGTGTTAACTCATCTATGTGCTTTGTTTGCAAAATTTGAATAAGTGGTTTATGATCAGTCTCTAAATAAACTTTAATGCCATAAACATAATCTTTAAAACGTTCAACTGCCCAGGTTAAAGCTAAACATTCTTTTTCTATTTGAGAGTAACGTTTTTCTGTATTTGTGAGTGTTCTACTAGCATATGCAATAATTTGTCGACCACTCTCTGTTTCTTGCATTAAGGCAGCACCTAATCCATAACTGCTGCTGTCCGCTGCCAACACAATTTTCTTACTTGGATCATAATGAGCTATTATAGGACTTTCTTGTAACAATTTTTTTGTTAGATCAAAAGCTTTTTGTTGTTGTGTTTCCCATGAAAATTCTGTATGTATCATTTCTTAATAAACAATATAATGGTTGCAAAGTTTCTGTTTTATTTTTTATAAATCTACTTACAAAGTTCACCATACCTAGAAATTGCATAACTTGTTTTTTATTTTTTGGTACATTAAAATCGGCTATAGCTTGAATTCTTTCTGGATCTGGACGAATACCATGTTCATTTCTTTTACACCAAATACACATTTTTTCTTATTTATAGTAATGTTTTTGTCCTGTAATCTATCTAAAACTTTTCTTAATATTTTGTCATGTTTCTCTATACTCTCTGAATATATTAATACATCATCAACGTGGATTACTACGCCCTCGAGATCATGAAACAATTCTGAGAATTTCATCGAGAAATATTCTGGTGCGCAGTTAAGACCAAATGGAAGCCGCTTATACATATAGCGTCCAAAAGGTGTTATGATTGTTGTAAGTGGTTTAGAATCATCTGTCAAGCATATCTGATGAAACCCTGAAGTAGCATCTATCTTTGAGAAATATTTTGCATTTTTCAACCTCGCTAAAGTAACTTCCACTTTGGGAATTGGAAAAACTGGCCTTAATATATTTTTATTTAATTCAGTATAATCACCACATATTCTGACACAATTACTATCTTTAGGCACAACCACCATTGGTGACACATACTGAGTTGGTTCCTCGACTTTGACCATAACCCCTAGTTTGCATAACCTGTCTATTTCATTTTTTACTTTGTCAAGTAATGGAATTGGAACAATCCTAGGAGAATATTATATATAACCTTTTGAATTATCACATAATTTAATCTTGAATGGTTCTTTAAATACCCCTAACTCATGAAAAATATTTTTATATTCTTTTTCAACATTAACTTTACATTTTTGATCATTAGCAATATTATTGACACTAAATATTTTTATAAGTTTCATACTTTCAATGGCTGGTACTCCTAGGATTGGGCTTTTTAAATTTCTAACAACATAAATATCACCTGTATATTCCCGCTCCTCATACTTTAAAGTGGCTTTTAATATACCTAGAACTGCTAATTTTGTGTCATCTGGTCCCTTAATGTTTACCTTACATTGTTGTAATGAATGCCTTTTGCTCACTAAACGTTCTGGAACAGCAACTATATCTGCTCCTGTGTCAATTAAAAACACCAAATTACATCTATATTCATTGTTTGTAAACACAGACACCTTAACTGAATATTTGCTACTAACGGTACACACCTGGACATCCTTTTGTTTTACCGATACCTCACTTGGAGAATCCCTAGCTCTGCAACATCGGGCAAAATGTCCAATTTTCTTACATTTAATACAAATCGCTTTTACAGCAGGACACTGGCTTCTTTTGGAGTGTAGATTTCTTCCACAAAACCAACACAATGTCTTCCTTATTCGATGAACCTCTTGCTCATTGTTAAAAGTTGTCTTTTCATAAACCTCTACATTTTTTGCTACTGTTAGAGCCTGTTCCATTGTTAAGTCAATATTCAGCAACATTTTCTCCCTTGCTTTGTTACTCAGAACTCCAACAACAAGTTTATCCCTAATGAATTGCTCTTTCGACACACCAAATTCACAATCCTGTGCCAATACATATAATGCACGTACGAACTCATCAATAGATTCTCCTGGCTCTTGGACACGACTATTGAACTTGAACCGTGCGTAGACCACGTTCTTTTTTGGTTGAAAATGATCATCTATCTGTTTAAGTACAATCTCCAAAGTAGTATTGACGCTTTTAAGACTCAATTGCAACGAAAGTTCCTCCGCTTGTTCGCCCATCAAATACAACAATAAATCTATTTTTTCTTCTTCACCTTTTGTATAGTAATCGGTCACTGTAAGATAGCGCATAAATCGCTTTCTCCATTTTGCCCAATTTTCTGGCTTAAAATCGAAATATGTAGGCGGCGTCACTGGACAAGGCGGTCTGCAAACACTTATTATCTGTTGCCCCAGTACTGGTTCTTCTTCTGTTGTCATTTTTGAATCGCTGCCACCATGTATTATAATGAAAACAAATGGTTTTAAGTGTTATTAGTCCACTTTATTAAGATTTGTTACAGAACCGTAAGAGCGCCATTAAGCAGAAAAATCAAAGAGTATATTCTCTTCTCAGGATACATTCAGCCAAGACTACATGACAGATTAGAATGCGTTCCAATATCACAACATTTGGATGTTTGTACGTCAATCACGCCGAAACTAATGAACGGATTTTGATGAAATTGGGTATACAGATAGAGTATTACCTGACTTAGATAATAGGATACTTTTTATCCCACCAAAAGGTTCCCTAGGGATAAAAGTACCTCCAACGGCGCCTATTTTTGTGAACGCTGCCTAAACGGTATGAGATATACTAATGCTTTCTAAAGAAAAGTTGGAGAGCCTTAAATTATCTATAAAAAAGTCCGCGATGTCATATATCTATATGCAAGGGTTTTGCCACAAAAATAAAAAGAACTTCGTATAAGTCCATTTAAATTTTTCGTCCATCTTTAAACGTTTATTTGAGTAGGTGATATTAAATCCTTATCGAAATAAATATGTTTATCGTCAAAGAAATTTAATATATATGAAAATTGTCTTTTACACCATGTAGATTGGATAAGTAGTTTAGATTTTAATACGATGTTTTTAAGAAAATAAAACAACATATATTGCCGATTTTCTAAACACTATTTTATGTACATGTATGTATTAAGATAAAACAGCATTTTTAATGTAATCGGTAATATTAAGCCCAACGGATGGCATTTCCTGTATTCTACATTGCGATGTTGAATTGCCGCAACTACTTGGATATAGATGACTATGACGCTGCGGTGCGATTCAATAATCTCTTCGTTGTAAGTGATTTCTGTGTCGTTTTGATTCTGAATTGGTTCTATTTGTCGATTTGGCTATTCTAACAGACTTGACTTGACATTTTGTGTAATTTTATCTCAAATAACTTCTATATTTTATATCTATTTAGCAATTCTCTAACTTTCCATATTTATATTAAGATCTGTATCTAGCTTTCTAAATCTACTTCTCAATTAACTCTTTGTTTATTTCTTGGGTCTACCTCTGAATGCAAGTCAAGAAAACCCAACGTGCAACATTAGCAAAAGCAGCGACCGCGGTGCCCTTTTGCAACAATGTAAATTAATCGTGTAGGACGAGTGCACAATGTCGCACAAGCGCGTGGTTGAGGCCTTGAACCGGAGCCTGCAGGACATCCGCAGCAATGAGACGCTGATGGGAGGTGCTGTTGTTGTACTCACTGGAGATTTTCGGCAAACTCTTCCAGTTATCGAAAATGGTACACCGGCAGATGAAATGAACGCGTGTCTCAAGGCTTCGCCACTTTGGTCCAACGTAGAAAAACTCCACCTTACTCGGAATATGCGTGCACAACCTTACAATGATACAGTGTCAGGTGCGTTTGCGAGTAAGCTGCTCGAGATCGGAAATGGTAGGCTGAAAACCGATCCGGATGGCAAAATCATTTTCACCAATGAATTTTGTGCTACCGAGGAAGAACTACTCGCCGATGTATTTCCCGATTTAAAAAACAAATCAAATGATGAGGAGTGGTTGTGTGAGAAAGCAGTACTGTCGCCAAAAAATGAATTAGTGAATAAAATAAACAACAAGGTATTAGATGTAGTAGATGGCGCATCGAGGGTGTACACGTCTACAGACATGGTGATGGCAAGCGATGACAGCACTGCGTATCCCATGGAATTTGTCAACTCATTAGAATTGACCTGCGTACCGCCCCACAAGCTGGAGCTGAAGGTTGGCGGCAGTTGATGCGTAATCTTGACGCTCCGCGATTGTGCAACGGCACAAGATTACAAATCAGCGAATTGGGAAGAAACATTCTGCGAGCAACAATACTTACGGGGGCAGCTAAAGGCGAGAGCGTGTTGATTCCCCGCATACCCATTATACCCCACAATTGAAACCATTCCAGTTGAAAAGGCTGCAGTTCCCATTAAAATTGGCATTTGCTATGACCATCAATAAGTCCCAGGGACAAACCCTAAAAGTGGCCAGCATACATTTGGGCATTCCCTGCTTTACCCATGGCCAGCTCTATGTGGCATGTTCTCGAGTGTCAAGTGCAAGGAACCTGTATGTACTTGCTGCAAATAATAGATCATACAACATCGTATATAGATCAATATTATAAGATAGTCAAAATCGATGTTGTATGATTTATTATTCTCAAAATCTGTTCAGTGGTTGCAGCGTGATTGACTAGCAAACATGAAATTGTTAATGAAAAAAAAATAGAAGTTAGTTAGGTCAGATTTACTTTACTCTGGATATACCTACAGAATTATTTTAATTATTTTTTATCTCACTAAACATTTCCTTAGGAATCACGCGGGCGAAGCCGCTGGCGAAAGCTAGTATAAAATAAATGACAAATGAAAATCGAACGACATACAAATTATTTTTTTATTATAATATTTAGGCTAAGTTGCTCTAATTCACTGTATTTATTAATTTCGATGGGATAATATATATGTTATAATACGCGAACTCATGACTGAAATAGTAAAAAAAGGGGCTTCCCCTCCTGCTCCCTCTGATGACGCCCTTGCTCCTACACAAGTAATATTTTATGAAAATGTGGCCTTATTTTTTATTATATTGATTACAATGCTTAAATCGTTACTGCACAGATCATTTTTAACATTCAACCCACCCACTGCAAGTGGCGGTAGACACACTGTTTTTGCGTTTTTCGCGGTTTCTTTATGTCATACCGATATTTAGATTTTAGAACAAATTACTTAAAATAAAAATAATATGAAAATATAAAAATAAAATAAATGATGATGATGAAGTATAAATGCTCAACAGACACACACACACACACACACACACACACACACACACACACACACACACACACACACACACACACACACACACACACACACACACACACACACACACACACACACACACACACATTTCTGAATGGAGAATTTAAAGTTATGTAAGTACGTCTCGAATTAGTTAAGCCATCTTAAACGTCACTTAAACAGATTTTTGGGTCTGATTTTTTTTAATGATTAGTTAAGAGCAGTTATTCATACTAATCAGTTTAGATTTTGTACTTTCTCAATTCAGAACCCGACCGTTACTGTAGTCGATCAAAGATTATTAGATTTTATTTTTTGTTTCATAAGGGAAATCCGTAATCGTACCAACATTATTATGCCAAGTTATCGCTATGGATTATGTTTTTAAATAAACAAAGAGCAAGTTTTAAATAATGTGACATGCAATAAATATTTTGATTTTGATTTAAATTAATCGAGGGCGACCCTGAATAATTCAGGGTCGCCCTCGTGATCGCACCCATCACATTTATATCCTCTATTGTGAGTGGGTGATTTTATACATATCAATTGCAGCCGTCTATTGTTGTTACCGGGGGCGGCGTCGGCGGCGCGCAGGTCGAGGCTGGAGGTGGAGTTGGCGATGATGGTGCTGGCGCCCGCGCTCACGCTCAGCAGCGAGCCCCCCGCGCCCCCCGCGCCCCCCGCGCCCCCCGCGCCCGCCGCCACGCTCAGCGGAGGCACGCGAGGCTTGTCGTGGTTCACGAACCCGCTGCTCGGTTTGCTTTGGACCTCGGCCGCCGCTTTCGATCTTCTTTTTCTATATTTTTTATTATTTCATTTAGCTACTCCGAAAGCGAACTCTTAGATATATTCTATCTATCTATGTATATACTCATATTCATTGCTTTAAAAATATAATTCAATTAATTTATCAACTTTTTATGTAAATAACTTTCCCTTATTTTTATCTAAACCACCGTCTCTCCTTAAACCTCGGTCAGTACTCACGCGCGGTATATGTACAGCAGGAGCCCGCACACGAGCAGGGCGAGGGCGGCGAGCGCGCACGCGAACGTGGCCACCACCCCCGCGCGCCCCTCCCCCGCCCCCGCCCCCGCCCCGGCCGCCGCCCCCGCCAGTAACCGCGGCCCCACGTGCACTACCAGCGGCACTGACGTCTGCACACAAACATTTAATTACAAAACATTTGGAACGGTCGAATTGTCAAAATGAAAGGTTCGTTTTGTTCCCCCGATTAGTATATAATGTCACGGACCTGCCCTGCAAATTCTGTAAAAAATCCAAACCCGAATTCGAATTCACTCATGTATCGGAGTTAAAAATACAAAACAAAATTGATTGAATATACATGTCTCAGATTTCTATTCCCATATCATTTTGAAACTCACTTCACTTATGCCACGAAATGTTATTACCAGTTTAAAGTTAAGCGGAAGCCGATTTTTGAAGTGAATTCGAACACCTAAGTGGATTCGAATTCGGGTTTAGATATTTACAGCGGGCATTATTAACAATGTGCGAGCACTATGAATAATGCCCAGCGCTATCGGACTAAGTAATCAATTTCTATCTAAACTTCATAATTTATTATTGGACAATTGGGCAATTTGACAATAAAGCTAAAGACACGGTGCGGGAGGAAAGAAAGCGTGCTACGGTTCACTATAAGATGATAATTTTGCCAAATAATGAATCTGATTGCTTAAACTTTAGTTAATTTTATGTTTTATAACAATATTTCAAAACTTTTATAAAACATACAAAATATATGTTACACACAAAAATATTTTTTGTCATAAAATTTTTTGTTATTTCCAAACCTCACCGTTACCAACTGTACGATTTGTGTACTTATAATAATAATAATAATAATTCATTTATTTTTCTCCACAAACTTTTACACTTATACAATGTGCTTAGTATATATAATCATAAACATAGTTTGTAGGAGACTGACATCTAAACTAGGCAATAAATTGCTTGTATTTTAGAATAATATGCCACTTTTTAATGCCAATTTACAAGTAGTAAAATGTGTTGTAATTTTCACTAAGTTGTTTATTGTTTACCAAATGTTGTATTAGTTAAGTCGATTCTGATTTGCTCGCGGTTAATTCAACACGATCTTCCTCTCTTTGCTCGTTGTCACACTTAAATTCACCATTAATGTGACCAAAACTAAACTGTTGCTTTTTCGCGTTGTTGTTATACACTAACCTAACCTATATGTGTCTGTTGCTATACTTATTAGAAAATGTTGAACATCAGTCTACATACGCAGAGGAAACAATATTAATATATCAATGTATGAAGAAGGAACCGACACAGTGACGTAACGTTATTCGTCTAAAAGATGTGTGGCCTAGTGAAAGATTTAACAAATGATAAATATTCCAAATGTTCATGTCATAATAACAATTATTGTATAATAATAATATACGCACTTATCTCATCTCATCTCATCATAATTTCTCATTTCTGTCCTCGGGTTAGATCTTGGTCAAGAGTGAGCCTAAATAAATAATGACAATAAAAATGAATAATTACTAATTAAATATGTTTGTATCACTCTGTCCAAAAGGTAATGGACTATATTTATAACGCCCGGTCAATTATTTGAATATGTATTATCTAATTGCTCTCTCATATTGGGCATTTTTCATAATGACCGGGCATTATGTATAATGCGCAGTTAACATCTGGTCAATAACTTTATATGTGTGTTGTATTTGTAATTGTGACCTGTCTGGGCGGATGGCCGGAGTCCCGCGCGGTGGCGAGCGCGTGGAGCGTGGAGGAGTTGAGGGCGGGCAGCATCTCCCCGCGCAGGAACACCTCGCCCAACTCGTTCACCTCCAACATGCTGGACAGATCGTCATCACTCATTACGTTTAGACAAAATGTGGCTTATCAAACGTCCTAGGACAGGGTAGGTAGTATTCGCGCGATTTATTACGTTCTTATGGTATGTAGAAAGACTGGGTTATTTAGAATTATTTAAGAGCTTAAGTTTCTTTCGCATTCTCTCTGTGTTTTGTTGAAATGTTATAGCAATATAGAAGCATCATACTTGGCGTCCGGGCCGCGCAGCGTGAGCGCGACGGTGTCGGGCTTGTCGCCGTCGTAGACGTCGAGGCGGCCGGCGGGCAGCAGCCGCGCGGCGGCGCGCGGGTCGCCGTCCACGTGGAACTCGTACTGCGGGTAGCGGAACCGCGGCTCCCACTCGTTCACGTTCAGCACGGTGATGTTGATGGACGCCGTGTCGTTCTACACACAGACATGCACCACGCTACATTACTGTGTTAGAGAACGTTTTGCGTGTAGCGAAACTGCCTTTGCGGCGTCATTGTTTTGTTCACAGAACGAGATGTTCCATTTTTGTCCCTGGTTTTGTTAAACTTTTTAAACCTCTCCTCGAAGCTCATTACGAGTTCCTAATATTTATTTTTACAAGCGAAGATAGATTTCAATTGATTATTGTCGTCGCTTTGACAAAATTTGACGTCAGTAGATTTTTTATAAAATCATTCTTCAAGAATACTAAGGAGCAAAGGATTTAAATTATAGCTACGATGTCGACTCACCGAATCTCCATCGGTGACCATGACTTGGTAGTGGTACGAGTCGGTAGTCTCGTAGTCGAGCGGGCGCCGCAGCAGGACCTCCCCCGCGCTGTCGATAGCGAACTTCTCTAAGAAGCTGCGGTCTGACACGTAGAACTGCAGCGACGACTGAACACATCGAATGTTAACATCAGTTCAAAAGTCTGAATCTTTTTCGAGTGGAGTAATTTCTGAAACCTAGTGCGCATTAAATAGAAAAGAGACATCCCGATTTTTTGTCTCACACAGTATAGATACGAGTGCGGCGTGGTGGCGTGTCGGCGTGTATACCGACCGTGGGCGTGGCGGGCGGCTCCGTGTGCAGCGTGAGCAGGCGCGCGGCGGGCGCGGCGTCCTCGGGCACGGCGGCGTCGTACTGCCGCCGCGTGAAGCGCACCGCCCGCGCCGGCGCCGCCCGCGCCGCCCGGCTCAGCGACAGCGTCGCCAGCGCGTAGCGGTCCGGGTTGTCTACTTGAGTTGCCTGCACGGTCATCAGACAAATATTCAATTTGATCGTTTCGGTTTTCTTAACAAAATTTTGTTTTTCGGGACGTTCATATATTAAGTTCTGCGTGCTCCTTTTGCTGCGTGCCGGTCTCGCGGTGGTTAGGTACATACCTTGATGACGACGGTGAGCGGGTCCCGGTGCCGCAGCAGGGCGGCGGTGAGGGCGAGGGCGCCGGTGTCGCGGTCGAGCGCCAGCAGATGGCGGTGGTCGCCGGTAGCGGAGTACTGCAGCGGCGCGTCGATGCCCGTGTCCTGGTCCACCGCGCTGATCGGGCCCGGGGAAGTCTCGAGGATCGTGCCCTGTGTAGGAACTTAATTTTGAACACCCAAACAGATAATAGTTGACTGCACTGAAAATAATACTTCATTTATTTGCTGATTCTAAAAGGATAATTTATCCGCACTGTGTCAATCACTTCTGGAATATTGCATCTCGGTCTGGGGTGGTGTTGGAAAGTCCGATCTTCTTAAAGTAGAGAGAGTGCAACGCGCAATTCTTAAGGTGGCTGCTGGTTTTCCCTTTCGATTCCCTACAAGAGACCTCTATAGAGAGTGGGAAGTGCTTACAGTCAGACAAACTTATGTCTTGCACACTGTTCTAAGGAAACACATTGAATTGAACTACGATCCACAGTTATTCAAGGACAAACGTAGGAAACGTGCTGTTTGTTTAAAAACACTCCACAGAACAACTACATCCCATAAATTTTTTGGTTTCTTGGGTAGTTACCTTTATAATAAATTAAACTTGACTTTAAATATTTATCCACTTCCTAGAGCCCTTTGTAAAAAAACTGTTACAGTTTACCTTCGAGAATTAGATTACCAATCCACTGAAGCTCTTCTTATACCCCTTAAATAATAAAAATACAATTATCATATTGCTAATCAGCCACTTCCAAATGAGTTACCCTGGTATAAATATAAATGTATAATCACAAACACATACGTACTCTTACACACGCGCACACTCATGCAATACGCACACAAACAGACACACACGCAAACACAAATACATACATACACAAAGCAAAATGTGAACTCTATATTAAAACTACTTTTGTATTTCCTTTTTTAATTATCTTTTTACTAGGCATTGTTTACTTATGCGGGGGAAGCCCTGGTGACCCGTGTAACCGGTTTCTTTTGGAAGCCTATAGCAGGCACCAGCTTTTCACACTTGAGTGAATGTTTGTCCTATTCATAGTATATAAAAAACCTACTGTACAACTTTTGGTGAAAAGAAATAAATTATATATTATTATTATTATTATTAGTTAACCGACGTGAAACTTCTCCAGTGAGTGACCATTAAGCTGTACCAATTTTGTCATACACTGTCCTTACTTTTTTATTCATGTTTTGTGTGTAGGTACTATAAATTTATATGTGACATGGAGCCGCTCCTAAAAATAAACTATTAAGCATTTTATTTATAACTATCTATAATCTTCGATATTTTATCGACATGAACCGATCATTGAAAGCAATGATATTAATAAAATAAAAAATAGAGAAATCATATATAGCTATTATAAAAACTAAAAGAAAAAAAAACATTAGTCTTGTTGGTAATCTGTCAACCAATTAAAAACTGAAAATATTGAATAAAAACTATACTCACTGGCTCAGCATCATCTGGTATGATCGCAGAGTAGTGCTCGTGTGAGAATTTGGGATTCTGGTCGTCTGCATCCAGGACCTCCACCTCGAGCGTCGTGTCGTTGTGGAGCGGCGGGGTGCCCTGGTCTTGTGCGCGCAATGTTATCGTGAAGTTCTTCAATGTCTCGTAATCTAGAGGTTTCTTCACCACTAACACGCTATCTAGCTCATTCAAGAAGCCGAGATATTCCTGAAATAGTGATGAAATTTGATACTGTAATTGATAATGTACCCGAGCCCATGAAGTGGTGCACTTATGTACGCTTAATTAGGGAATTAATTAAATAGATAGATAATTGTAAAACTGTAGAACAGTTTTAGGAACAACTGATTTAAAACTGAAAATACAATTGTTTGAAAATTTTTTATAGAAAAAGTTGTTGTATTATCTAGAGTAAACAATTTTCAGATGAATTTAAAGCAACGTTAACCACAAAGACTTATGTTTTGAAATCAGTTTGATGAAATGACCGTTGCAATTTTTCGGGGCACTTTTGGTGAACATGTGCTGAGTAAGCGGATAAAAGTTGTGCGTTTGTTGGTTGTTCAGGGGACTCGTCGCTGTAGTGATCGCCGCCTTTCCCTATTCACCTGTAGGTACGACGATGGTTAGACTCACGCTGTGGGCGGCGGGCAGCACGGAGTAGTGTACGGTGGCGTGCGGGCGGGGGACGGTTAGACTCACGCTGTGGGCGGCGGGCAGCACGGAGTAGTGTACGGTGGCGTGCGGGCGGGGGATGGTTAGACTCACGCTGTGGGCGGCGGGCAGCACGGAGTAGTGTACGGTGGCGTGCGGGCCGGGCTGGTCGGCGTCGGTGGCGCGGGGCTGCAGCACGCGGGCGCCCACGGCCGTGAGCTCGGACACGCGCAGCGCGTAGGGCGCGCCCGCCCACGCCGGCGCGTTGTCGTTCACGTCCCACACGCGCACCGACACCGGGATTATGAAACTCTATCAGAGACACGGAGCGCGCGTTACAATATTATACTCTATTTTACATATTCATTTATACAACAAAGTCAAATTTATTTTCTTAATTAGTCTGTTGTGTAAACAGCCCTAGAAATTTTTTTACCGTTGAAGTCGGGCTGAGATTTTCTACAGTTTATTAAACGGTAACCGTCCAATTTTAATGTTTCTTGAAAAATTCAAGAGATAAGTATTATTTTTAACTTTTCAAAAATTTTTGTCGTTTCTATTTTTTGAAAAATGATTTTATTGTAGATATAGTGATAATAATCACTATGTTTACGATTCAATCGGACCGGAGTCGACATGAAAATCGAACACCGACTGACCGGGTCGGTGGTACGTCTTCTATCGCAGCGCACGTTGACGTAAACATTGGAGGGCCCGCGCGCCTCCTCGCGGTCGAGCGGCCGCAGCAGCGTCAAGTTCCTGGTACCGGCTGCGATGCCGACCGCCGCGCCCACCTCTTGCAGTCGCAGGGTTATGTCGCCCGACTCACTTGGATCACCGTTCACACTTAATGTGCCTGATAGATAACCAATGATTCTGAATCAGAACACCACATGCCTACAAATCTTCTTTCTAATGACATGGCTCCAGTACAGAGATCAATGAACAAATATTTTTCAAAAAAAACTGAAAATTTATAAAAAGGTATTTATTTATTGCAATTAGTTATAATATTTAATTTATACTTTTTATTTAATCCTAACTACTTATCAATTTATCACTTATCACAAGTTTACAAAATTGTGAAAACTGATTGAGACGAACTACTAAAAAAAACTCGGACAAGAAAAAAGTGTTCAATTGCAAAAAAAATCATTAGAAGCTCTCAGTGAATAAGAAACATACCTATGACGCTTCCGACAGGTGTGTCTTCACTGATGAAGAAGCTCTCCACGGCGCCGCCATTCATCAGGTAGCATCTGCTGTCCTGGATCGCTATTAATATATATTAATTATACATTTTAAATTGCATATTCTATTCTAGTCATCCATAAAAATTACATTATATGTCATGTACTTTTCAACATTTCATCTTAAAAATTATTCATTGCTGTTCCTGTTACTACAAGATCGTTTGCTGTATTATAGGATATTAGGGTACGTGATATGTAACTGCTAAGGAAGCACATTCATCGAACATTAATTATTTGCATATTAGTGCATTCCGTCCAAATCATGTTTATAACTTGATTCTTAATATTCACATACTACAATTGTATATTCCAATTATAACTGTCCATTGATGTGTTCAATATCGACTAAAATCTGGAGCAAGTATCGAGCCGTCAGCGGCGCGGCGTCTATAGGCAGAGTCCGGCAATCGGGGCGGGTATCAAGCGGGTCATGATATTAGTAGTCGGCACTTATCTATCGGGGACACGCGAGGGCTGAACCGAGCCATCAAGAAAATTAAGCGGTTGCCCACTTTTTGTACATAAATTCCACCACTTCCGGCGTCAGTTTTTCGTATTAATTTGAATTAATAACGTAGATTTTTCATGAAATTTTCATCTAACTTCTTCATTGACCGGTAATTTAATCTATGAATATTATTTTTTTTACTGTTTAAACTTTTATGAATCTTTTTGTTTTCTAAACAAATGATTTTTATAATGTTTATTATTTTTGTAGCAAATTTAAAAGTGCTACTATCCATTTGACTACGACTAAAGTAAAGACACTCTAACTACACCGTAAGAGGTCTAGCATAAATGTTAAATATTATAGACAATAACTTGAATACGATAAATCAAAAGTTCTAGATATTTCTACGTGCATTATACAAGTATCATCGTTCAAATCTCACCTGACCTGACACAATTCGTGATATTTATGTCTAAAAATATTAAAAATCAATTTAAGTTCGTGATCGGTCATATTGTTTAAAATAAGACATATCTTACTGAGTGTGTGCAGCACGCAACAGCTATCAGTGCAAATGGTCTGTGTTAAATTCGTACGATTGTGAAAAAAACTATAATGGCAGGAATTAGAGGGGCCGCTGCAGGCTCGCGTGGAACAACAATTGCTAATTGTGACAAAAACGCCAAGAACGTTACGAAGGCGGCGCGAGAGCTGGAGTGTGACCGACTCCGCCACGCCGCCTATACTGCACTATATTGGACTGACACTGTCTATTAATTTATTTAACTATTTGGCATTGCAAATTATTCGTATTATAATTCAAAACGGACGAAACTTTCCTGTGTGTAATATTCTTTATGTACTAAGTCCTGTTTTTAAAACTTAATTCTTATAGATATAGGCAAAAGCATATGCTTTTTGACAAGTACTCGTGCATCGGCTTATTTGTTTTCTAAGAATGGTTCCACACATAAGTTAGATTTATAGTGAATACGTATTTTGATGGTAAGCATGCGGGTTTAAAAGTTCTATGAGTCAGAAAAATGTAGCGTATTTTTCTATACCCGTAATGTAGAAGTCTAATATTTTGTAATTTGTAAAAAATAATTCCCACGACCCGTAGTATAAGTGGGTAAAAGTTCAGACTGGTTGATCCGTAAGCTGTCATTATGCGTACGATCCGTGATTTGACCCATCACGAGCCACCTACGTCCACGTCCACTAAGGAAGCACACCGATCACACATACACACTCACACACACACATAATTTACCTGTAATTACGTGAAAGTTACGAAAGTGAATAATTGCATGGAGATGTATTATAACAATATCATTTACTGCAGTTGCAGTGATGTCATGTTTATATCTGATATAATTATAGCGAATTTCTTACAATGACGGTGAAACTACTTTAGTGAAATACTACAATCTAGAATTACATATATAATATTACTGTCGAAATATGTGGCATTCTCTGGAAATAAAGTCGCTAATAAAGTGCGGAATTCAAGCAAAGTAGGTATGACAAAAAGTCAGATTCTTTATTCTATTTCTTAAGCGAACATAAATAAACATATGTATTTTCAGTCTAAAGAAAGTGATTTTTAAAACGGTGAGATATACGTAAGATACAGTGCATATTTATTTTCTCAAGAGGAAGTTTCTTCTTCTCCAAGCAGCCGCCGCAGGGATCTGATCATTGTTTGATATTTTGGTGATATGTTCTTCCTCCTCGTATCGTTTTTCTTCTAAGTGACTTTGCCCATCATTCCAAAAACACGTCGTACGTAAATTCTTATTATACATTACAACCAAATGAATATATTGTCTCGTACCACGATCTGTAGCTACAGTGCATGCAAATGTCTACAACAAACAATAATCTATAATAATTATTAATATATACTTTCATAGGTGTGTGTAAGCACTAAACGTGATCTATAAGATACGCTGTCTAGTGGGCAGCACTCACCCCGCGACCTGATAGACAGCGCGATGGCTGCCACCGTGGCCGGCCGCGCTGTAGTCGCCGGCGACGGCATCGCTGCGTCACAAGTCATCTATTATTCCTATTGCCTACTAATTTGGTTTTACGATGCAGCCATGTTGTAGTCATGATAACAAAACGTACTGGGCAATTAGAATAAAAAAAACGATAATCCAAACCTCTACATAATGGGTACTTAATCTTTAAATAACTAAATATTCGGTATAATAATATCTGCGCTATAATATCATATGATAATTAAAAGCAACAATTCCTAGAAAACACCCGGTGGTGTTTTCAATAGGGAAGATTTTATTAGATGGACAGTAGCCTTACATGGTCCGTTTTTAAATAAATAATGCGAGGTCCACTAGTAATCAGTGTAATGGATTAGGGAGAATGGGAACAGGTAGGTGTACACTTAATGAAAAATGCTTACCAGGGACAGAGTGGATTTTTCAAGAATTTACTATTAAGAATATTTTCCAGTATAACATTGTGAATTAATTAACTACAACAGATAGGTAAATATAATTAACGTTGAATATAAGCAGTCGAGATTTAAATATAGGAAATGATATCCTTTTTGTAAAAACCAAACCGGTTTCTTATATTTGCAAGCGCCGCCCACTACTCAATAAAACTATTAATAAAATAAAACTATGATTTCATGAAGTTTCGGACCCTTTACAGGTTCCGTGTTCACTTATAACTAAACCAATAAATCTTTAAAGTTTTCTTGAGAATTTCAAGTTTTATAAATAAAATTTTATTTATATCATTTTATAATTCAGTTACATATTCAAATTTTGTATTTTAATTGATGCGCTTCATATATTCATTTAACTTCTACTAAAGCCGAGCGGTTAATAATTATAACCTACAAAACCTCCACCCGACACAATAGAAATTCCTTAAAGGTACTTATTTATAAAACATCTATGGGTAAGTAGATTATTTCACTTTTTTGAAGTCTCTCTTATTTTTTAGAAAAATTTCAGCATAATCTAGGATGAGCTGATTGATATCGACTTCCACGGCAGGTGCACAAGGATAGGCACTAGAGCCGAGCCGGAAGACGTCTCGCAATAAATCCCCGGTCGTGTTTCCGGTCGATTTAAATTACAAAATGGCCGCGAGTCCAACGATGTAGAGCACTGTTGAATGGCTCATAATGCCCACTTTCATTTTCAAATCAACAAATTTTAGGCACCACTTTAAACTACATAGCGTCCTCGTGTAATTTTGCAAAATACACTTGTCAGTTAACACGCTGACGCTAACAAACTATCTATTGTACTATTAACTTTGGATAGCGACGGTAAGTGCTGTGAAACGTTGAATTGTCACACTATAGTGGCGTGTGGGAGATCACTTTGTTGCTAATTAACACATCAATTCGTTAGGAGTACATTTATAGTATAGATAAGACGTAACAGATACATAAATAGACAAATAAGAGTGAAAGCGCAGGCAGGTGTAACCCTCCTCGGTCATCCACCATCGAGGGCTTCCTATCAGCACAAATGATCCGTGCATAGTAATTACACCGTGCCATAACTATCTTACTATTGCACGATATGATTTCATACCGGGCCGCGGTCACAAACACAATAATAACACTGTATGATGTCTGTCTGTCTCTACGAGAATGTCGGTTGTCAGTGAAGGAAATATTTTTAGTAACTTTAATTGATTATTTGTGCGATGTAGAGAATTCACAACAAACTTATACAAAAGATCATGCAAGGAATGTTATGTTTAAGTAAAAAGCATATATATATTTTCAATTACCTGTGCACGTTTGGTTGCATTAAAATACTTCATTGAATGAAAGACGTAAACCAAATAAAGATATTAATGGAAAGCTCCACGAGCGATTCACAGTTAGCACTCTCCAGAGAAAGGCTTATCGAAGCAATTATAGTTTGCAATCAATTCAGCTCATTATAATTCTCTACCGATACAATTTGTGGAGACCGGACTCTCGAGTGCACTGACCATTACACAATCTCGAGTAATATACTTAACTGTTAATTAAGTAGATATATCCGACAAGATATGAGCACTCGATAAGATCAAAAATAATGTGATACGATCACCGGATACCAGTGAAAGTGATAAACAGACGTCACTGACATATATGATATGTAGCCAATAAGTCGTCAGTGTCGCTCGTTAGATATATTATTTAGATACTCGTTACCTCCACAGAAGGCACATATAATTAAAATGTAATAGAATCAGTAAGAGTTTTGAATACTATTTAGAAAAGTTCTTCTCGATGACAATAAAACTTATCCTAAAGAATGTACACATCTCTCTAAAAAATCCATTGATAGATAGTAAGCTATATCATAGTAAGTAAGGAATTAGCATCCTGTGATATAAGAGAGTGTGCGTTATTAACAGAAAGTCCGCGTCATTATTATACAAGTGGGTGAGACGGTGCGAGGGGTCGCGCGCGCCCCGATGCGTGCTTCCGCTGCCCGCGCGCGGACACACGCACACACGCACACACACACCGCTCACCTTACAGTGTATCGATACCTTACG